CTAGGGTTTCATCGAGGGCCAGGCTTTGGCCGGCCGTTAGCTCCAGGATCTTGTTTCCTCCTCCAGCTCCCAGCTGCACTCACAGCCCCCCCAGCCTAAAGCTGGCTCTGCAGCATGACTTGCCCCAAGCTGGTCTGAGGGGACAGGGGATGGCAAGTGCTGTGGGGCAGGACCTACGCTCAGGGGATCTGGAAAGGGGGTCCCTCAGTCCTGCCCACTGCTGCAATGGTGCTGGGGCCCAGGCTCTCAGGATGCAGCTTGTGGCTGGCCCTGTGATGTGCAGGGCTTGGCTCAGCCATGGGTGCAGCACCTTACACGTGCTGGGGAGCCTGGCAGCTTGTAGAGCTGCTCTGGGGTCCCCATCTTGTCACAGCCCCTCGCAGGGCTGCTGGGGGGACCCCAGCCCCAGCGGCATGCTTGCAGCCCACATCCGCAGCCCTGCTCCCCTCTCTTGGGATGAGCCCCCGTTCCGGCACAGCAGGCAGAGGCAGGAGAGAAACCTGCCTGCCCGGGAAGGATCCCAGCTGTCCACTAATGTGCCAGAACCAATGCATTTTGCATAGCCCTGAATGGGGCATTCACACGCTGGATGGCAAACTGACCAGCCCGCCCACAGGCCAGGACTACCATAGCCCTGAATGGGCCATTCACACGCTGGATGGCAAACTGCCCAGCCTGCCCACAGGCCAGGACTAGGGGTGGACGCAAATGGGTGCATGGGAAGGGGGCTGTGCCGAGTTTGCCCCCACCTCGCTCCAGGCTGGCGCCTCCATGCTTGGGCAACATGGTGGATAGGCAGTGCCCCATGCTTGGCATGGTTTGCACTGCTCTTGCTTGCTGGGTGCTGCCCCTTCTCAGGAAGATGAGGCCACAGCTTGAAGTTCATTAATCCTTTGTGCCAGGTGAGGGGGTACAAGGGGACATGGTAAATGGGGACGTGCCACCCCCTGCCATGGCCTTGCTGCTTTTCTGCTCCCTTATCGAGCATGCCGTGGGTGCAGGCAGTGCCTTGTCCCCCTGGCCCAACTCACACCAGCTCAGCCCAGAGATGCTTTTGGGGTCCTGGTGGTGCCCAGAACTGTGCCCGCCCACCTGCCCTGGCACCGGGAGCTGCTCCTCACCCCATCCTCAGGCACCAGTGCATCCTGCGTCACTGCAGCAGTGGGTGCCAGGGCGCTGTGGGCACCAGGGAGCCGGGGCTGGGGCAGGGAGGCAGCCCCCGGGTGTCCCGCAGCCCCACGACAACTGGAGGTGTTTTTTATTGTTTAACATTCCTGGTATTTTCTGTCAGGGCTGAACCAATTGTCCTTAATCCGCCAGGCTCTGCTGGCCAAACAAGTGTGGCTGACCCACCAGCATCCTGTCCGCACGAACAGGCCCCTTTTGTGAGGGGGATTTAGTGTGTAGCCCAGTAAATCCCGCTGGTTTCCTGAGGCAGCGTTCCCACACACCACTGCCACCCCCTCACCCCCCGCTGCCTGC